TAAGGCAGCAATTCGAAATGACTAGAGAATTCAGTAAATGTAAATACAAAAGACGAAAACGTACATACAACATATATCGAACATGCCTAGTAAGGAAAACGAGGGCCTTTTTTTCAGCTCCAATGGACCATAAAAAAGTAGTAAAGAATATATTGAATTTATTACCAAAAGTTGTGTACAGACATTATTACTTTCCTTTTTAATCGCCGTGAAGATGCAGTCGTTGTCACATAAACTTGGACAAACACTTCGATCTCTTTTTCGACGAACGTGGCAACCAGGGATGAGAGATGGGCCTGGCCTTTGCTGGGAAGCTCCTCATTTATCTGGAGGCTTTGGCGTCCTTGCTAATTCTTCAATTCAAGAAAGAAGAAAAATAATTCTAGACAGGACTACAAGCCTGGTGATCAAGCATGTTCAACTAGAAGATTCTAAGAAAATTCCAAAAACGTGTTTTAGAGCTGAGATCTTAATGGGTAGACGGAGAATTAAACCAACGACACCTAAGTGGATTTGATTAAACGCCAGTCCTGAAGGCAACTTTTCGATTCACAACGCCATAATTTTCTTCTACAAGGGTGGCAACACTTATTGTTCTGAAACTTGTGAAACGCGGTAGAACTGCCAATAGTGATACTGCTTTGATCATAAGAAGTAAACATTTTCGGCCATATTACCGTATTTTAATAATAATTTGCAAACACATACGTACAGTATAACATTGAAACTTATTAAATTTGAAGAACGGCAAGATAACTTATGGATTTAAATTTTTCAAAACTGCTAGAGAATGATCTTATCTTAGGAATAGAGAATAATGAACAGCTTAAAGGTGATATTTTATGAGCATTTTTGTGCATATTAGCAAAACAAGCGTATAAAATGTAGCTGTACTAAATTCTAACTATTTGCATTATCCATACCCATAAGTACATTTTTACGACGATTGCAGTTTTGAAACTACAATTACCGGGACATATCCCGTGTGGAGGTTACGGACAAAGCCACTGAGTGAGATTTTTGAATGGGAGTATAATATTATCAGCTACTACCATTCATTGGCATGTCCAATACCAAAGATTGTAAGAATGTATTTGAACAAAGCTATGCATGGCATTTAGAAATTCTCATCGCATAAAAAAACTTTTAAAACGGTTTACAGGATTGACGACGCCACACTTAACTAGTTGCGTAATATTATTGCACACTATGGTTCGCTTTACAAGTTGTAACTACACCAAGGTTACATATAATGTCCTGAATTAATTTTTCTTCAGTAGCAGAATGTTCTTCTTGGCTAGAAAGGACTCTGTTCAGTAAATACTTCAAAATTACGGCGTTATGTACTTTTATAATTACTTTGCGGGGAGTAGGCAGCCAAGAAGTTTCTAGTATTGCGAGAATAAAATCATTAAGTCAATTCACGAAATGCATTTCCCTGAAAATGAGCAACTGAGGTCGCCTCGGGCTCACACAAACAACTACTACAGTGAAAGGGGCGGCAGTGAAAGTTATCCTCGTAGTGGAATGCTAAAAATAGTGTTGGGCCTCCCACCTACAAGTGGATGGTACCTAAGAATCTTCAACAGAGAAATGTTTTCTCTAGAAATATATTGGTGACGATGCACTTCGAACAATATTAAAATGCATTTTTTTCTGTAGTTTTATCATATTTCGCTCCAAATTCTTCGTAGTATAGCTGAAAATTCATGTTGCAACGACTCACCACCATTGTTTGATTTATTACATGCTTCAAACGTTAGCAACACAATGTTAAATGTTTTAAATATACAAAACAAAAATTGTAAAATGGTTATTTTTCAGAAATGAATTTACCGGGAACTGCAATGAGTGTTGAAGGATTACGGTGCTGGGAACCACATTATGAAACATATGATTAGAAGTTTAGAATAATTTGTCACATCATGGTCCAACCAGACGTCTCCTTCGATTGGCTGTAGCTATTGTAGTGGTTGTTGTTATTATATCATAATAAAATGCAGTTATTTTAGTCGATTAATAAACGATAAATACATACACAACTAGTACCTTCTTCATGTTATGAATATCCCAATGCAAATTGCACATAGTACGATGAATTTCTACAGCACCAAATTAAAACGGGAAGTTCAGAAGGTGAAAGAAATCTCTACTTATTACAATGTGTAATTCATGATGATATGTCAACGGTTTCGAAGTGCAGAGTAACTTTCTATTTGAATTGATTAAATTCATGGGATTTACTTACGGAGTCATGTATTTTACATGAAACAATATCCTAATACGTCCTTTTATTTAAATCCAGCACTATTGTATAATTTCAAAAAAGTTAGAAATAATAAGACCAGTCGAAAAACGAAAATATGATTTTCAATTTCACTTACTAAATTATAAAAATTCAAGACTGTATAGAAAAAGAGTGAGAGAAAAATCAAAAGTAACTTTAATCGATTCTTGGTAGTGAAAGCGGGATTTGGAAAATTGCACCGGCTGAGTTAGCTCAGAGCCAGCATTGCTGCTGTTTCTGCAGAAACTCTGACCGGGAGGTTCTAGGATTCGAGTCCTAAAGGTAGCGGACTATCGACTTTAGCTAGATAACTAGATCGAATTCAGATAAATTGGCCGAATATTTTTAAAATGTTCTGAACAGTAATGTAGGGGACAAACAGTGCGTGTTCGAAATAAACTTACAAAGAACAGAAGGTACAAAATATATTTATGAAAAGAAAATATCCCTATTTTTAAGGCAGTTTATTTATAATATCTTTAAAACATAAAAGAAATATTTAACAGATAATTTCACATCTTCTTGGAACGTACAACGTTTCTGCAATATTTTTCGTCATCTTTTGGTTCTTCTGGTACAACTTTTTCTCATACCATAATTACAGATTCACTCATACTTGTTCTTCAATTTGTTAATTCTAGAAACAAAGATTTAGAAAGAATTGGTTTGGATTCATAAAATTAATTTCTTGTAGATGTAGAATTATAAAATTATTTTCTATTAAACCATAACGAAGTTAGTATGAATTTTCTGTTTTGCGTTCTCACTCTGTAATTGTTTATTAGATAATAATTTTATAATACTAAATCTAAAAAAATAAATTTTATGAATCCAAACCAATTCTTTCTGAATCTTTGTTTCTAGAATTAAGAAAATCAAAATACAACAATGTGTAAATATGTAATTATGTTAAGATAAAAAGTTGTACCAAAAGTACCAGAAGATGATGAAAAATCACTTTGAAACGTTGTATGTTCCGAGAAGGAGATGTGAAATTGTATGTTAAATATTCCTTTTATAATTTAAAGAAATTATAAATAAACTGTCCTTAAAAATAGGGATCTTTAGTTTTCATAATTATAACATACAGGCAGTTCACAAAATCTTAAACAAAATGTATTTGTAACATTAAATATTCATTATCTGTTCACATTTCCCCTGCACGTATTTCTTCAATTGTGTATTGTTAAATTGAAGAAGGAAAGGAAATACTACATTAAATTAGAAATATTAAATATTTTACTATTGAGTATAAGGGGAAGGAAGAATTACATTAAATCAGGAGAAATATAAGTCTTCTGTAATTTCTTGAGGTCGTTGCCTCGTCCGTTATGACAAAAGTTCTCTATTACTCTTTGGCGTAACACCGGTGCTTCTCGAAGCGTACTTAGGGAAAAGTAGGTTCTGGGGTAGGGAAACGCATCAGATTCCTGATAACACATTCCGGCGTCGTTCAGCTCGGATTCACTCATTAGGTAGATTGTCCTAATGATAAGCCATTTCCTCTCAAATTCTTCGGTCAGCGTCTCATAAAGATTAACAGCTAATAAGAGCATCGCCAAGTTTACAGCGCTCTAAAGAAAAATCTCCAATACCTTTTGCTCACGGTAATTTGAATATTATTTATTCAGTACTCTTTGCATTCTGCTAACAAAATTTTAAAAAATCCACAGCTCTTCACGGAAGTATGCACCCATATCTGACGCGACCATGTCTGTCACCTTGTGTACTCAACTCGATTGGCTTTCTGGCCAGTTCCCCTTGACCACTGAATATAAGCTGAGAAGGTCCCCTGCTTGTTTCTGGACATATGAATGTAGCGGTAGATATTTTTTTACTTTCTAATAAATTTCAAATAGTAAGTAGGCTGTGTTGACATAGATAATAATTTATTCGTAACTAATTTTTTTCTCTCATCATCCTTGTAGTTTGGCAAGCCTTTCTGTCTATCTCCATTCCGTCTGCGCCGTTCTACGAGTCAATCTTTCGAGTGTCGCCTCCTATCTGACGCCCTTCAACCTGTCGTCCGACGTTCGGCTGCCGACTTTAACCCCCCCTCCCCGCCTTGCAGCTACCACTCCTTCTGCCTGTCGCCCTTTGTCCTGACACCATTCCGTCTATTGCCCTTCAACCTCTAATTATTCTACTAGCCGCTCTCTTCTTTATCTTTTCTGCCTCACAGTCAGCTACCTTTCAACCTGTTGCTCTGGGTGGTGGGTGCTACCTTCATCCGGCCCACTGCATTTTTTCCCTTCAGCCTTCTATCTGTCACTCTGGACCATGCCTCTGTCCAGTCAACAGACTTCCTTTCCCATGGCCCTTCCACCTGTCGCTTTTGGTCCCTCCTCCGTCCGGTCTACTGCTTTCCTTTCATTGGCCCTTTTACCTGACGCTCTGGTTCCTGCCTCCGTCCAGTGAACTGCATTTCCTTTCATTCGCCAATCTATTGTCGCTCTTGGCCCAACCTCCGTTCAGTGAACTGCATTCCTTCCCTTCGCCCTTCTTCCAGTTTGCCCTTCTACCTGCTTTCCTTTTGTGTGCGACCTTTCGTTCGTTCGCCTGCCCACCCTCACGTACCAGTGGCCTTTCCTGCCGCACAATCTCCGCGCTCGTTTCCTCGCCCGTCCTCTGGGGCGGCGGCGGCGGCGGCGGCGGCTGGGCAGGTGACGCAACGGTGGGCGGGGGCGGGGGAGGGGGTGTGCGGGCTCGCGAGGTCCGCGCGCCGCGCCTCCGCCGCCAGTCGTCGCCGCTCCACCTCCGACGGCGCCCAACAACGCTGCCTCACGCAGTCGCCTCGCTCCGCCTGTTGCAGCGCCGCCACCGACCCCGTCATGGAGACGAAGCAGTTCAAGGAGTTCGCCAAGGAGATGGTGGACTACATCGGCAACTACCTGGACAACATACGAGACAGGTGAGTGCCACCGTGCTGCTGGTTTATAGCCGTGCGGATGTGTGAGTGTCTGTGTTCAGGCGGACGAGCATTGAATAAAATATTTAAACATTAAATACCGTATTTTGGTGAAAGTTATTCAATGTAAATTCGTGTGGTTTTTAAGGTGGTTTCCAGAAGATCGATACCTCTGACATCGGAAAAAGGAGAAATTTAAGAACACGAATTATATAAATGTAGGGAATTTATGTTTATCATTAGAATATTTATCTTGCCCGAAATAAAACATTAAGAACGTAGGGAGATCAAATTATTTTTCGCCTCTGGTAAATGAAACTTAATCGTATGTGTAAGTTTGGCTTTTCGAGCTACATTAATCTGACTTTTATAAGCTAGCGGTGTTCACAGGCCTGCGCTCTGTTTCATTTATTATCCACGCCTGGGGATAAGGGACACATGTGACGAGCAAGAAGCATTCTCATCGCCTTATCTAGCATATTTGGTCCAACTAAGCTTTTTCGGCCCACAGCTATTGCACACATATCGCCACACAACTCAGACGACTGCATTAGAAAGCTACAGATCTATTTTTGCCCCCGACTGGGAATCGAATCGGGAATTGCTTCACGGAAAGCTGGCAACCGCCATCAGCTACCGACAGGACTTACTTAATCGTTTAATTAACTAAATAAATTTCACCCTGAAACTGACAAGTGAACTCCATTTTAATAGATAAGATTCAATTATTGAATATTACTGGAGGTACGGGATTCTATTCGTACCACAACTCGTAACTAAAAAAAAAAAAAAATCGTCTCGAACATCATCTTAGTAGTATAAACTTACTTTTTTCATTATAAAGTTTTTTCATTATAAAGAGTCCCGGTTTTATTTCATGGAATTGAGGCCATCACTCTGCTTTGCATGCCGTGTGTGCTGTGCGCCCAAAGCTGTGAACGCACCGAATCATCTTCCCCCCGAGTTCCTCCCGCGTGCCATCACAGCGCGTGTTCCTTCATTGGGCGGACGCGCATCCTGCCCAGGGCGCTACGAACCAGCAACTTCAGCTGCGTCTCCGTGAAACTGCTTGAATGCGTATTCTGAAGCAGACTTTGCCATGTACTTCCCTGCTCTTCATTGCTTCGTACTACCCTGACGTTTCCCCACGTTTGTAGGGACTGGTCAATTTCTCGGTTTATCGAATCATTAAGTGGCTGATATACTTGGTATGGAAACAATTAAGGGAAGTCTAGGAGAACCAACGATTCCTGCCGAGGTAGCCATTTTCGGAAATGCAATGGATTTGGTCTTCACATAAATGTTCTCATAAAGATTTTGTGTGTCAAGTTAAAACCCATGTATTGAAATATTTTTATAGCGTGCATTTAAATAAGGTGGGTGTTTTTTCAATTCGATAGTTCGTAGCAAACATCGAATATTTATATCGATGCGTATTGCACCCGCTTTTTCGTGTCCTAATGTTTCTATTAAATTTGTTAATGTAAGGTTCATTAAAATACCCTTAATGAGGAACACCAGGAACTGAGGAATTGCAACTAATGACTAGCTGTTTTTCGAAATACATTAGGAGATCTGTGAGGTAGAAGAAAACAGTATTTCTCACTGACAGTAGTATTCATTAATGACGTCTTTCAGTGTTGACCAATACCATGTTTAATTACGAGTGCTAATTACAATTTTGCAATTTCAATATTTCTAATTTAAGTTACACTCTGCCTTAATTGAATTTAATCACAATTATATTTGAAACACAATTAAATTTTAATATTTACAATGTTCATAATCAATATTACATTATTTTTCTTTTCATTAATGGAGATCGGTACCAAAGTAATTCAGCCGCAAACCATTATGTAACCCAGATATGTGAAAATGATAAGTGGAGACCTTGACCATTGTGAGATGTCTAGGCAATTCTGATAACAGGAGATGAAACTCCTCTTTGTTTGTTTGAAGATGCAAAATAACCTTGTAGGATTATTTTTCTAGAACCACATCAAGAATCGCTTTTGCACGGCATGTTTGACATTAAATAACTTTACCGAAATTTATTAAACGATATTTCTCTTTTATGTCAATTTCTCAACAACTCACATTTTATATCAATTTCGCGAAGTGTGCAAACTTCGGTTTTTGTCTAAGTTTGTTTTGGGAACATTTGTTATGTGAAAAGAGTATGCATACAAAATATTAACTTGTAGTATGCGCAACGAGCTGTACAAAAATGTACCCTTTAGTAAAAATTGTTTTTTAGTATAATAATTTTCTCCACTCGTACAACACTCTCTTCAATATGTGTTCAAGAATTAAATATAGAATTTGAAGATATTGAAACGTGATAAGTCTACCTTTTAAGTATTTTATTTTGAAAATAAAAACTAAGATACACTAAAGAAAAAAAAACAGTGTATAAATTACACCAGTTCTTCGTTTAATGCCTCGTAATGGGTGTCTAAAAAAGGTATTCTTTTTATTTTAGTGAAAATAAAAAGGTACGCGTGCTGTCTCATAACAATACTATTAATGCACTTTACACACAATAAATGAGAAAAAGTCTCATAACAAATAACAACATGGTGAGCAAAGTCAAACATTTGCATTCAGGAATGACAATCTTGGAAATGTAAATTAATATTAGTATCTGAAACACTACAATCATATTTTTAACATACAGACTCTAAAAATTCCATCAACTTAATAGCACATTTAAAAAAAACAATGAAGGAAAAACAGGAATCAGAATCACACGAACTACAGGAGCTCTACCCGGGCCTCAGAATAAACACGAGTAAGAGGAAAGAAGCGTACGGGTGACTTGGGGATGTCCTATCGAGGTGCTTAACTCCCAACCAGTTTTCAAGAAAGTAATCGTACGCGAGGCTGGGTCGTATTTCGTCCCTGACCGTGGGCAAGCGACGAAGGTCGGCCGGAGAGCCGAATGTGGGGCGAGGTGGGTGCAGCGAGTGGCATTGGATGCGAGGGGCACGCCCCCCTGCCGCCGGGAAAGGTAACGGGAAAGGCGCGCGGCTAAGTGACAATATTTGTTTTACTTTCACTGCGGCTCTTACCGTGCGCTCGCGACACTGCTCCGGAGGCGATGCAATCCTCCGGACAGGCTGCGAAACAGGGGGAGGAGGAGGTGGTCAACTGGGGAAGATATTCACAAGAACTTTGCGGGGCAGGGTTTTCACTTGTCATTAGTACTATGTTCTTTACTTCAATTTTTGGTCGGTTTATTTAGATCCTTCATATTTGCATTGTCTCTCTTACTCTACGGTAATTTTGATACATGATATCAGTGTTAGTAATTTCCAATGCGAGCAGAAATTCAAAACAAACTATGCAGCCTCTTGAACTTTTAAGAGGTGTCTACGGTTTCGTTGGATACCCAGAAACTCAGAAACATTTAAAAAACAGTATAAAAAATCGGTATTGTATGAAAAATGCAATTATTTGATTATGTTCTACCGCCCAAGAAAGAAACCCCCCGACATTAAATACATGCTAATCACGTATTGCTTTATGGGGTACACATTTTTTTGATATGTTAAGAACGGCTGTACTGTGTACGTGTGCACTATACTATGTTATTGCAATATACCTGAAGACTGTTTTTGTTAAAATATTTAACTAGTTGCAATGTTTATACCTGAGAATAACACTTCATTTCTTGCTCTTGAACAGTGAGCGTGCTACGTTTTCGAAAGGCATTTTGTCCAACCACCTTTTTACTTATGCAGGCCATACTAGACATTTTATATTTTTCTGCAAAACGAAACATGTCTGTAAGCGTTGTTTATACCCCGACACATCATACAACGATTAGGATTTCATCCCTTTGTTTTACAATCTATTGAGCGACTAAGATGTCTGGACAATGGAATACGAAGGGGAAAGAAGGTGAATTGCACTTTCGGGTAAGCCATGCCCCTCTTCAGTTGCATGTTTAAATGCAGAATTAACATTTTGGAAATAAAGGTCGCCGACGACATGGAGTCACAAAAATATGAAGTATGTTGGTATCTAATAGTGTTTCCTTTAGGAGCAACGGTCACACTAGTCAATCGCTTTGCATTGTTCAACTTGATGCATTTATAATAACCTTTATCAGTATTTGGAACTTCCTTTCAACGACCATCAATGAAGTTGTTGATTTGATATAAATCAAAAGAAGATATTATGTGAGACGATTGGGTCAAATTCTTACATATTCTTATCACTCTTGTGAAGGATTTAATCTTGACTCTCAAGCGTTTCTATTCATAAAATTTCTCTCGTTAGAAGTGAGTAACAATAATAATAATATGGTCTTCCTATTCTAGATATTTTAAAAAACATTAAAAACTGTAAATCGATATGACCTTAAGAATTACGTTATCTCAATCTCACACTTACCTCTCTGTCGAAAGGCGGCGTTGATCGCTTGAGAAATGTAATTGTAACCTTGAATCCGCGATTACGTGCTCACCATATCAGTCTTAAATGACAGCATACGTAGATTATGTTCATCGTAATTAAAGTGGAAAACTGAACTTGGAATTAATCCAAACACAAATATTTATTTCTTTACTTTTAGTTAAAAGTTCAATGATACCTGGAGTATATACTAAGGTGGTTACATAATAGCTCTACAAGCGTCGAAACATTACCTAACAATGTGATGTATGCCGCAGAAATTGAGACTAAAGTTGAGAATTTTTCACACATAAAAAATAATTATTAAATAGACACATGCTGTCAAAATTAAGGTTATACGGCGTTGATATCCCAATAGTACGAGATTCACGACCTGCTATTTGTGTATCATTGCCACGGAGTCGTTATTTTAACCGATATTTTCTTACTACATATTTATGAATAATCAATTGTAATACAAGGTAATACTTTTAATACATTTGCACAAAATTATATAACTACGTACTCATATGTTTCCTAAAACAATTACTTTGAATTACCTATATTTATACGCAATGAGTAGAAATAGGTTTGTAAGTAATGCCTCAGTTAATGTAGATATTTTAATCATATGGATGTTTGAATATTGTATTTATATTTTAATTTAATGACAATTCTTCTTCTGCAAATGGAGCTACACCCTGCGGGGTGTCTCGTGACCAAGCTTCCATCTTCTTCTATCTTGCCAATCTTCTGACTTAATGTGGCGATCTTTTATTGTCTGTCGCACATCATCATACCATGTACTTGTACGTCTTGGTCTACCTCTCTTTCTATGCCACCTCCTAGTTTTTAATGGACATCCTTCCTCCAGTATTTTTCTAAGATGCCCATGCCAATTTAACCTTCTCCCTTCTATTATATCTATTATATGAATGGGTAGAAACCAGAACAGTATAAGTGACATTTTATAAATTCTGAAAAATCTGTTTATTTCAGTCAATATCATAGTTGTGCCTTGTTTCATCATTAAAACCAAGACATTTCAGTTGTTCTTTAAAAACACGAAAATACAGTGCCAGTGAAATATAGTCTACAACAAAAATGTTTTTCTCAGAATTTATAAAATGTCACTTATATTATTCTGGTTTTCACCCATTCATATACTAAATGACACCCATTTGCTGCTTTATGTTTTCATTTCATGATTCTTTCCATTAACGTTACGCTACAACTGCATGTCCAAAACTCCATTTTCTTAGCCTTTTAACTTTTTTCTTTGTTTTTTGAGATCTATCACAACTCAGCACCATACAGTGATATTCGTTCCACAATTGCTTTATAAATTCTACTTTTCACTCTATTGACAACATTTTTATTTCATAGTTTTGAATGTAATTGGAGAATAGCAGATTTTCTATGCCGAATGCAATGATTGATTTCGTGTTAACTGCCCCCTCGGTCTGTTAAAACTGTTGATAAATACTTATACTTCTGACAACACGTAACAACCGAGCCATCTTCCTTTACTAAATCTTTTCATGTCCCTCCTACCACCATTGACACTGTTTTTTAGAAATGAATTTTCAAGCCCCATTTTCCACATTCCCCATTTAATGTCCTATTGGTAATTAATGAACAAAAATTTAAGACCCTTAAAAAAGTAAAAAATGATCGAAACATTGCTAATGACAAGTGTTGTAATGTAACGTGGTGATGTGAAATGTGCACTATTAACTTTTTGCCTGCTCATAAATATTGATTATTAAGACTAATTGTTTTATGCACTGTATCACACGTGAATTACAAATTATAAGTATATGTTTCTATTAAAGCAACGAACCCGTGTAAAGAGGTGATCGAAATGTATTGAAAAATGTCTTGTATTGCCGCAACCCCCGAGGGCTGGAGAGCGCTGCTGTGTGGGGAGGTACGCGAGTGACCGTGAGTGTGTGTGTGTCCGCAGGCCCGTGCTGCCCAACGTGAAGCCGGGCTACCTGCGCGAGCTGCTGCCCGAGAGCGCGCCCGAG